AGTTTGGAAAACTGGCCGGGTCAACCGGCCAACAGCCACTAATTCCTCGAAAAAATATTCGCTCTTCATCGCACTGCTTCATAAACCCTAAACCTTCGCTCCATCCCCAAACACGGCATTTCGACTCTCCCCTCGACAAGATGTAAAAGAATACAGAGTATTATAAATATCTCATCTTTCTCAAGATACCAATGAATGTTTGGATTCTTGATTTAACTGTAGCCAATGTCTAAAGAAGCTAATCTTTTTACATGTTTCCTTACATATTTTGTAGCCATGTTATTTCTATTCCGCAGTCTTATGGCCGTCAGACTCAGAAACTTACACAATCATATTGTAAGCACGTCCAAATCTACTGCTCCAAGTAATTCATTTTCATACAATTTCCTTTTACGGGTATCTGATTTTTTCTGTATTTTTGGGTACCCATTTTCCACAAATGCAAATTCTAGCAGTTTTGACGGATTTTTTGATAAAGAATCGATAAGGAAAATTATAAGTGAAGAGAAATGGGATGATTTTAGGATAGTGGGTTGCTTTGAATCAGCTCTAGCTCCTGTTTTAGTGTCCAGAATCTTAATTGAATTAAAACAGGAACCTAGATTAGCTTTCAGGTTATTCAAGTGGGCCCAAATACGAAATGGGTTTCAGCATACAACAGAAAATTATTGTGTCATGGCTCATATTTTGTTCTGTTCAAGAATGTACAACGATGCCCATAATGTTCTAAGACAACTAGTGAGTTTGAATACAAGGAATAATGACAATAAGATTAAAATATTTCCTTGTGATATATTTGATGCCTTGTGGTTGACAAGAAATGTTTGTGTTCCGGGTTATGGAGTTTTCGATACTTTATTTAGCGTATTGGTTGAGGTGGGATTACTAGAGGAAGCGAGGGAGTGTTTTACGAGGATGATAAGGTTTAGACTGCGGCCAAAAACCCGGTCTTGTAATTTTCTTTTGCATGGACTTGCAAAGGCTGGGGAAGGAGGGTTGGTGAAAAAGTGCTTCATAGATATGGTTGGGGCAGGAATTGAACCGTCTGTGTATACATATAATATAATGATTAGTTATATGTGTAATGAAGGTGATGTGAAGGCTGCTAGACATCTGTTTGCAAGGATGAAGGAGATAGGCATTATTCCGGATGCTATTACATATAATGCCCTAATTGATGGGCATGGGAAGCTAGGAGAATTGGATAATATGCTTTGTATATATGAGGAAATGCAGGCAGTAGGCTGTTCTCCGGACGTCATAACATACAATACATTGATTAATTGTTTTTGTAAATTCGAGGAGATGCCCCGGGCATTTGAATTTCTCCGGGAGATGAAGCAAAGAGGTCTGAAACCTAATGTTGTAACTTATAGCACATTTATAGATGCTTTTTGTAAAAAAGGAATGTTGCCACAGGCAATTAAACTTTTTGTTGACATGAGGAGAGTTGGTCTTACTCCAAATGAATTTACATATACTTCTTTGGTTGATGCAAATTGTAAAGTAGGTAATCTAGACGATGCTCTGAAGTTGGTCAAAGAGATGTTGGAAGCAGCCGTCAAGTTAAATGTGGTTACCTACACGGTGTTGCTTGATGGACTATGTGAAGAAGGGAAGATAAAGGAAGCGGAAGAAGTTTTTAGGGTGATGCAGAAAGATGGTGTAGTTCCCAATGAGAAAAGCTATACGGCACTTGTTCATGGGTACTTTAAAGCAGATAGGATGGCGGATGCCATGGATGTTTTGACACAAATGAGTGAAAATAAGATCAAACGTGATTTGCTGCTCTATGGAACTATAGTCTGGGGCCTTTGCAACCAGGGAAAGTTTGACGATGTGAAAGTTTTGCTTGATGAAATGAAGGCGCATGGTAGAGAGTTGAATCGTGTGATATATACAACACTAATTGATGCATACTTTAAGGCTGGCAAAGCCACAGAAGCACGAAAATTGCTAAATGAAATGCAAGAAAAAGGTGTTGCTCCTAGTATTGTGACATATTGCTCATTGATTGATGGATTGTGTGGATTGGGATGTGTTGAGGAAGCAATTGATCATTTCCATAACATGCAAAGCATTGGCTTGCAACCTAATGTCGTGGCTTATACAGCACTAGTTGATGGCCTTTGTAAAAATAAACGTTTGGAGGCTGCTCAAGAGCTTTTTCTTGAAATGCTTGATAAGGGCATGCTTCCAGATAAAATTGCCTATACATCTCTGGTTAATGGAAGCTTAAAGGAGGGAAATGTTCAAGAAGCCTTGGATCTGGTGAAGAGAATGATTGAAACAGGTGTGGAGCTGGATCTTCATACTTACACATCTTTGATTTCTGGGCTCTCTAGAAATGGTCAAGTGCAGCAAGCAAGGGATTTGCTTGATGAGATGATTGAAAAAGGGGTCCATCCTGATGAGGTCGTGTATGGTTGTCTCATAAGAAAGTATCACGAGCTTGGAAATGTCGAAGAAGCTAATTTCTTGCAAAATGAAATGATGAAAAGGGGTCTTGTAACCATGGCAAGTGAATGTTCTGCACAAAATGTGCAAAACTAAGCATTTCTAAACCTTGTATTCATTGTGATAATTTGAGTTTACTATCTTGGAATGAAGCATAAGAGATCTGCACAAAGAAGCTGCTTGCTTTTTTTTCCTTTCAGACCTCCTCATCTCCAAATTGCGGTTAGTTATGCTGAGCTTTTTGGCTGCTTCTTCTTTGCCCTGCAATCACTGTATATCATCTTGATTTAAGTTCTGAATATTGTTTGGCTATATCCTATTTCTAATTGGTCTTATAGTCTTGCAAGTACAATCTTTTGATTCTATTTCTCTCACCTCTTTTACTGCTATTCTGCCAACAATAACTTTGCAAGCATGCCTGAGAAAACATATTTCCCCATTGTATAGATAATATGCTTTGCTATTTGCAAGGCATGACTTGATATTGTTAGTATATATCATGTATCCATGTGTTCTCAAGTATTTTAATTACTTCTCTATTTTTTAAACGGAAGCTTTATCAAAAGCATAGTAAGCATGAGATTTGTTAAATATCTGTCGTGGGTGTCCCAGTAACCATATAGGAGAGTTATGGTGACTGTAAAATGGTGCTCCATGACAGTATGGGGACTCCATGCTCTTTGTTGGCCTTTGTGGGAATGCTCTCTGTAAAGAAGGTGAACCAGTGTCAAAATAGATAGAAGAGCTGAGATCTGAAGTGGCCAAGATTAATAAGCAAAGAGATTTGAGATTATAAAACTGTCAATTCATACCTTGGAAATTAGGATTGCGACTAATAAGGGATCTCCTTAACATGCGAACTTCTCCGCAACTTAAGATTCCTTGGGACTTTGTGCAGGTCCAAGAAATTCATTTTTTTTTTTAATTAAACACTTGGGATTGTAGAAAAGTTACCTTGTTGGGCTAAAAAACAAGAGGATATAAGATTAGACGTATTTTTATCTGGTTCATAAATATGTGCAGTAGCTCTACTTGTTCATTTGCGAAAAAAATTGAATCTGATCTTCCAGAGCTAGCTTCTCTCACAAAACTTTGTGTTTTCTTGTTTGCAAATTTTCTGTAAGTATCCAACATTTTTCGGTGGTGTGCTTTGTATTGTTGCAACCTTCAGTCATCACACTCATGCTCTCTTCCCCACAACATAGGAACACTTAACAAATACAAGGGAGAGGTTCTTTACCAAGTAGTCTCCTCCTCACTTCATGTATTTTGAATTGAGTCTTGCAACAAAATACCCTTTCCTTTTCTAGCATCTTCTTGTTGCACACTCCCATGCAGCATCAACATAATTGTGTAGTTCCTGCCGTAGCTCCTTTGACATGCCGTAATATGTATTCCTCTTTGGCTCCTTTGTTCAATATCATGATTTTAGGTTTTTAATATTTGACCTGATTTTCCCATGTATAAGCAGTTTTCAGCTACATCATCCCAAAAACTAGGTTTGGAAGCCATGAACTTTTTTCTATATTAAACGAGAAAAAAATAAGAATGATACATAGGTGTGCAAATTAGGGCTAGTATGAGTCATATCTAGGATCTGTTACAACAACTTACAAAATTTTAACTATGTTACTGATGAAAAGCAGAGAAATAACCAGTTATAATGAGTTTATCCCAACAAATCTTCCTAGTAGCAAGCTTATAAAATACCTAAATACTCCAACATTGTTATTCCAAAAGCTTAATGCTTTGCCTTTGTAAACAGAGAAAGTGCTTGATATTTTTGGAGGCATCAAAAGTTTTGAGATGTATACACGTATATTATGCCTGTAATTTAGTTTGATTAATTTATTGGGTGCTATGTGAAGTTGCCAAGGAGAGATGTAGCTGCATATTCAGCAATGATGGACACAGTAAAAGGCCTATTTTTTGCAAACAGTACATGAACTTGTGAGGCCACCAATTCATTTCACATATTCTAGGAGGGAAAAGAAGGGGGGCCCTTAAGTGGTGGCAGGGAAGGGTAAACTAAATTCTGTTGAAAGGAATAATGTGTAACAAACTTCAGTTAGAGGAGTCTATAAAAGAGAGTAGCAAGGCACTATTCGGGAGGCAAATATTGAGTGAAAGGAGTCCTGTAGTCATTTTAATATCTGTTATTATCTGCATTTCATTTCAATCAAAAATCTAGTACAAGGTCCGTTTTTCCTCTTTTCCATTTGGAATCCTATCAAATTGGTATCAGAGTGATTCCTTCCGATGGCACAGAAAAA